AGGCCAGTGCTCGAGTGGAACCCGAAAGGGAAGCGGCGAGTGGTTCGTCGGTGCAAGGGTGACATGGAGGAGATGGTGTGCATAGGAGTTGAAACAGTATGGGCTAACATGTATGGAGGTGAAAAGTACAGCAGAAGACAGAAGCGAGTGGAGAGGTGTAGTTGAAGCCCTATTTTCCACTAGGATTCGAAGGGAACAATAATAATAATAAAAAGACCTGCTGCTAAGAATTAGGTTAGTACATTAGTGATTTCTTACCACAAAGGATAATTGGATGAAATGGAGCGAATCCCTAACAATCATGACTTTGCTAATTAATGTTAAGGATAAAATAGAAGAAGACAATTCGTTAGAATCACGTATGCCAAACAAACTGTAGGGATTATGACTTTGTATATATAGAAGAAACTTCCAGACAAATAAATGTACGCGTAAAAGAACACAAACAACACTGAAAGGTGATTTCAAAGACCACAGTGGATTTGAGGCAAAATGGAAAACAAACCAGAGAATGCGCTTCACTGGGTAGAAACATAACACAATGTCTATTTCGATAGGACTTCGCCGATGATATATGTCTGATTTCCCACAAACTGGAAGATATGCAAGTGATGAAAAGTAACAAGTTGGCAGAAGAAGCATTCAGAGAAGATAGGATTTCAGGTGGACATAGAGAAAACAGAGGTGATGAAGATTCCTGGCCAACACCACCAACAGCAACAACATCAACAACAGACAACAATCAGCCAACATAAATGGAAGGAACCTGAAAGAAACAACCTCTTTTACCTACCCACCGACCTGGGAAGCATCGTTTCAACTACAGGCGCACGGAACTGACGAGGATATCAAAGCAAGAATCGATCGGGAAAGCAAGACAAGCTTTCACTACTCTCAAGTCTGTGTGCAGGAGGTCAACAGTGAGCACTCAGCATCACAATGAAAATAAGATCCGGATTTTCAACTCCAATGTGAAGTCAGTCAGTGCTACTCACTATACGGATGGATCAGAGACTTGAACTGCGCGTCATAAACAGCATCTCAAACAAACTACAGACCTTCATCAACAGCTAGCTGTCTTCACTCAATACCACTCAAGATCAGATGGCCGGCCGGCCAGAAAAGATTAGCAACAGAGACGGATCTCTGGCAATGAACGAACCAACTAACACAGCAGAAACTGATTGTGAAAGAAATAGGCAGGAAGAAATGGAGATGGATGGATTGGCTGGCCATACTCTGAGGAAACAAGCCATCAAGTGAGTGACATCACTAGACAAGCCATTGGTCGAGTGGAACCCAGCTGAAAGGGAAGCGGCGGCGAGTTGGTCTGTTGTCAGTGCAAGGGTGAGGGTGACTTGGAGGAGGTCATGTGAAGAGGAGATGAAGGCGTGTGGGTAGACTTGGAGCCAGGTGAAGACTGTAGCAGAGAGTGGAACGCACTGGAGACGCGTGGCTGAAGCCCTATATTCCTCTAGGAATTAAAGGAAACAATAATAATAAATAATAATAAGGTTCTAGAGAAAGGTTTTGTTTCATATGATGGAAGATGCATCCTACATCTATGGGCGAACCCCAAATATTTGCATACACCTGATGGTGTGATGTTAGCTGATATCCATAACAAGTCTTGATTCACACTGATTCTTATGTCTAATCTATTATCCTGACTGTATATTATATATCTTCTAATTGAAACGTCAACAAATGGCAGACAATTGTCCAAGCATACAAACACATTACTGTATATCACCCACACACATATTTTCCTAATTCAGATTCCCATGACCATGACCTTTATTCGAACACTGTCACTAAATTCTAACGTAAAAGTACGCACAGTTTACAGTGTATATTAAAATAGACTTAAAATAAGTCCCATGGGACTATCCGGTGAAATCTTGAAATTTTTAAAAAATTTAATTTATCGGAGGATTTAATCGAAAATGTGCCACTTTATGGAAGGTATGTAGATGATATTGTAATCATCAGTGATAAGCGCCTTGTTCCGCCACCTCAATTTTAAATCGAATGAATGAAGTTCAGAATAGCATATCATTTACATCTGTAGAAGAGGAAGATAACTGTTTACCCTTCTTAGACATATTGCTTAGTCGACGGCTTGATGGGTCAATAAAAAGATCTATTTATAGAAAACCTACCTACCACAGTTTCTGCCCTGTTCGGTACAAAAGAGCCTTAGTAAGGTGCCTCTTCAGTAGAATCCAATGAATATCCAATAAAGACACACTTGATGAAGAAGAAAGAAAGTTGACACAAACTCTGGCTGACAACAATTATCCAGACAAGTTCATCAGGAGATATAAGGTAGTCAGATCATCAAGACCCACTATCCAACTCGCCCCTAAGAAAGACGTGTACATCAAGCTACCCTATATGGGGCATCAGAGCAGGCAGCTTGATAACCAGACAAAGACTGAACGCTGCTGTCAAAAACACTTTTTATGCAGCCTATATCATAATAATAGAGAATGTAAAGCCAATATATCTATCTAAGCCCTTCGAACATGCGAAAAACGATGTTACATCCCACTGTATTTACCAATTTGAATGTACGTGTGGACACACATACATAGGGAGGACTCATCGATCTCTGCAAATAAGGACTGGCTTCAGAGCATATCCCTAAATGGCTCCAGTAACAAATGGAATCTTCAGAACCTATTAACGGTGAGAACAGGAGACCTAGCTCTTCCATTGCCAAACATATTATAGAGACAGGACATAAAATTGGCGTTAACAGATCTTTTAAACCTAACCCTAGCAATTAGAAAGTTTAAGCCACCTTTATGCTATCAAAGCAACAATTCGTCATCACAATAAACCTTCTTTGGTAAATTTTGTTTTGATACAGTAGCAGTTGTACTATTACCTCTGCTATTTGGTGTAGTGGTCTTGATTGTTACTTTGACCTTGAATCTGTCCTTTAAACTTGACCTAAGTAGTCTATTTTCTCATCGCTCACCTCTTTATTAATTTGATAGATATTCCTATGACTAGTCCGTGTGTGATGGATCAGATTGTTCGAAATGTGTTGCGCAAATACAGCATTACACGATTCAGACAAATTAAGTCTTCTCACTGCTTTACCTAAAGAATATTGTGTGAAAAAGCGGGATTCTGAGAATTCTGTCATGAGGTATTTTCTAGTATTTGGTTTATTGATCAGTACACCTCTATACCTACTCTAAGAATCAAAGTTATTCCCTTTCAGACAGGTGTTCAAAGCCGGTTTCAAAGGAGACACAGTTCTGACAAGAGCTTGTAAGTGATCAACTGAACACAAGAATGATGGATTCAACGACTCCACCCTCTTTTTCTTCTCCCCAGGTAAAAATATACACAGATGTGATGACCAATATCTAATGTCTCACTAGCTCAATATTCGAGAACATTCTTGGTGTGTGATTTGCCTAATACAATGTGAAGAGCACTACACCATCAACATCCACTTTCTTACTTCTTTTTAGGGTAGGCCGCCAACGCCGCTACATCCCTGAAGTACGGGACACAGCAGGACATCCCGTAACCCCACAAATAATGGTCTGGAACTTAGCTAGGGACCGGTGAAATCTTGAATTTTTTTAAAAATTTAATAATCTCCACTGAGACATGAAACAACGATTTCAGCGTAGCCAATTTGCCCTACAAATAATTTTTGCGATGACTATTTACTACTCAGATATGAATGAACAAGAATTTTGACAGACAAGATGTGCCCTCCAAATTTGACCATGGATTGATATCAGCTTGATTAGAGCACCAATGAAAACCCCGGGGGAGGGTGTGCTGGACACAGCTGTTTCGTCCTAGTTCAGGACTCATTGGCAGCACCATTGGCAAACACCACTAGAGTTCCAGCCCGGGACCTTTCACAGTTACAAATCAAACCACTGAAGACCCCTAAACCACTGGGACCCAGCTAGATGGCCCATGAAGAATTCTAACTTCAGCCAATTCGTGATTTTAGCACGACGACCACCAGCTGCCAATGTCATGTCACTGTGAGTATTCATCCTCACGCCAGACTTGGTTGACTCAACTGGTCACGACGCCTCACTAGAAGACCTAGACAAGAATCATATTAAGAGTTTGTTCGTAGATATTTGATTTATTTTAGGTATGACTGGTAGGAGTTGGAATCCATGGTCCACTGGATTCGAGTGCCAGTGAGTGAATCGCCAGTGACGAGCTCGCCTTGTGACCCTTGTGATCCTGGACCCGAACCCTGGTAAGTTTGTGCTGATGAAGAGTCCTAAACTGGGGCGGAGCAGCTATGTCCAGTACTCCGTGTAGGTTTTCATTGGTTCTCTAACACTGATATCAATCCATGGTCAAAGTTGAAAACCAAATTAAATCCCTGTAGAATGGTTCAATTTCGATTATTTGCCCGAGGAAGCTCGAAGTGGTTTGCCGAAAAAAGAAACACTTGAATATCAATGAGATGCTCACTAGTGACTTGCCCTATTCAAGTAGGTAGTTACCTGGGTGGGTTCCAGTCAGAAGTCGTGACCAGTACGGTGCAGCAGGTCGAGTGTGAGGACAAATACTCGCCACCGAAGACATTGGCTAGGGGTCGCGCTATGTCGTGAATTGGCAGAAGTTAGAATTCATTGGCTGACTGGCCATTGGATCGGGTCCCAGTGGCTTAACGGTATACGAGATAGTGCGCCTTGTAACCAGAGGCTCCTGGGTTCGATTCCCGGTTGGTACGTACTGCTGAAGGGTCCAAAACTAGGACGAAACAGCTGTCCAGTGGTTCTCTAACTAGTGTCAGCTCATGATGAAAATCCTGTGACAAATCAACCAAATCCCTACAAACCAACACTTGAATGTTGGAATTATTATCATTATTATTATCTCCAATTTGCTGAGATTTGTATATAAATATGGTTTCTAAAAATGTCTAGAATCATTGATTGTCGGAAAGAAAATACACCCAATAAATAAATAAATAAGTAAATAAATAAATAACTTACCTATATATTCTATCATGATACCTTTCCCGTGTATGATGTAAGGATCTAATAGATTTAAATTCGATGTGAATTGTAATCCAAATGCATTGCTAATTGGACCATAGACTTGTCCAACTAAATGGGTTTCATCAGCTGGAAATAATTTCTGATAATCATTATCATATGTAATGGTTGAAGAAGAGAAGGAGAAGGATGGGAAGGACATTGATGACGGTGATGACGCTGATGATGCAGAGGAGGCGGATGCGTGGGTGGGGGCGGCAGACTGTGATGATGATGCCGATGTTTTCGCGGAACTATTGACTAGACAAAAACGTACGATGGGTATAATAATCTCTGTAGAATTATATGAACTAGACACTCGAGCATCAATCGATAAATAGTCATGATGACATGCTTTCCCTGGATCCGATGGACAAGCTGGTCCCGTGGCTAAGATAAGATCATTATTATGGTTATTATTATTATTCGATATTGATGTCCTTGAGGATGTTGACGATGAAGAGGCAGAGGGCACTAAAAGATTTAATTAATAAAAAATGGGAAAAATAATAAAAACGTTACATTTCCAATCGATTTTTACTTGACTATTGCATCACATTTTCAAAAATATTCCGTTTGATTCCGTCCTTAACAGAAGAAGAAATACAACATCTTTGAGAAGCACACTGTAATAATAGTGCTCTCTAACACTCGTTCCCTAGTCTTTAGCAGTTTGAAAGAGAAGATCTCGTACTGTGACCACTTCTGTGTGCATATAAGAGTTCAGCTGTTTCGATGGAGCAAGATCCGTCCTGCTTTATGGCTGGCTGTGAGACCTGGCCATTGAGAGTGGGAGACATGAAAAGATTAGCTGTCTTTGATCATAGGTGTCTGCGTTCTGTCTCCCGTGTGAAGTGGTATAATAAGGTGAGCAATATTGAAGTTAGGCCATCGGTCGAGTGCTAGTTGGTAAGGAGGGGAAATCAATCGACAAGGCTGTAAAGCTACATCGACTGAGATGGTTAGGACATGTGTTACGTATGCCTAGTCATCGCCTTCCTCGACAATGGACAATGTTAGTTGATATAGGGTGAGGCTGGAAAATAGCTAGCCAGTGGCGGTCAAACCAAAACATGGCCTCATCAGTCAATGAAATCTACAACAGTTAGCTTAAGCCAGCCACGTAGGAAGGTGTAGACTTTCTGACTGGTTGGGGTCCTCGGGACGGTGAAAACCAATGAAGGTTGGAAACAATTGGTGACATGGCTAGCTCAAATTGATCGTTCTCAATGGCTGGCCGGTGCAGATGCATCCACTCCTTGTGACTGACTTATGATTTCCAATGAAACTGTTTTGTTCTTCGTTATTACTCTTCCTTTGTCTCACACCTCTGTTTACTGTCTATATTATTATGCATTTCTCCTACTTTCTTCTCTTGCTTTGTGTGGTACAAGGAGGGAGTGTGTCGACTTGAACTTCCGCACATATGTGCATTGATTCTTACAGCTTATCTCCGTTGATGAAAAAATTCCACCTTAATCATAATAATAATAAGAATGATATTGATATTAATTTATAGAAATATGAACTCATGAGACGACAAGTGTAAAGCTGCTTACGTATAAGCAGACCAGTCATTAGACTGATCATACAACACCCCCCCCCCACACACACACACGCGTGTACACAAAGTCGATAGAAGTTATGTCTTATATGTCTTGACACTTATTGTTTAGTGTGTTAAAAAATAGCTACGCGTAACTGCTTGACTGTGACTGGCCAACTAGCCCACTAACTAACTAACTAACTAACTGACTAACAACTCAAAGAATGAATACTAACGCCTTCAATGGTAAGGTATGATCCAGTTTAAAGAATGACAAGATATAACAACAATAATAATAATCTTAAGGCGTGTCTCCGTGTGTGTATATGTGTGTAAGGGAGTAAATTTCAATACATATATATGATAAATATATACTAATAAATAAGTAAGCAAGTAAGTAAGTAAGAGAGAGTGGGGGGGAATTGAGAACAATGAGAGCAAATCAAGGCGTAGTCCAACTGCAGTAAAATTTAAAAATGGTTGAGTTTCCCCAAATAAACAAAAAGTTTTCCCCAGTTATAGTTGAAAAATGAATTTCCGTTAAATATATATATATATATATATATGATACATATGTGTATTGTTATCATGTAATACTGGATAACTCATAAATCGATATGTTGTGTGAGTGTGAGTGTGAGATAACTAACTAACTATCAAGGTTACTCAATTGATAATCAATCCTTCTAAATCTTGGATCCAATATCCCAGTAGTAGTTAGTGTGTTATGTACAAATCTTATTGAACTGGAATTAGGATAATAATAGGCTATTCTTTTTGTGACTTTATATTGATTACATCTTCACCTTTCAGGAGATTTTGGAATAAAAAAAAATTGGCATTGGATTCTGCCCACTATGGAATGCTGTGCAAGCGAAAAGCGACCAGTTGGCAGAAGAAGCATCCTGAGAAGATAGGACTTCAAGTGAACATAAAGAAAACAGAGGTGATGAAGATTCCTGGCCAACACCACCAACAGCAACAACAACAGACAACAATCAGCATAAATGAGAGGAACCTGAAAGAAACAATCTCCTCTACCTACCGACCTGGGAAGCATCGTTTCAAATACAGCTAGAAGGAACTGACGAGGATATCAAAGCAAGAATCGATCGGAAAAGCAAGACAAGCTTTCACTACTCTCAAGTCTGTGTGGAGGTCAACACTCAGCACTCAGCATCAAAATGATAATAAGATCCGGATTTTCAACTCCAATGTGAAGTCAGTCAGTGCCACTTACTATACGGATGGATCAGAGACTTGAACTGCGCGTCATAAACAGCATCTCAAACAAACTACACACCTTCATTAACAGCTAGGTGTCTTCGCTCAATACCACTCAAGATCAGATGGCCGGCCGGCCAGAAAACATCAGCAACAGAGAGGGATCTCTGGCAATGAGCGAACCAACCAACACAGCAGGAACCAACCGATTGTGAAAGAAATAGGCAGGAAGAAATGGAGATGGATGGATTGGCTGGCCATACTCTGAGGAAACAAGCCATCAATTGAGTGACATCACTGGACAAGCCATTGGTCGAGTGGAACCCAGCTGAAAGGGAAGCGGCGGCGAGTTGGTCTGTTGTCAGTGCAAGGGTGAGGGTGACTTGGAGGAGGTCATGTGAAGAGGAGATGAAGGAGTGTGGGCAGACTTGGAGCCAGGTGAAGACTGTAGCAGAGAACCGAAGGCAATGGAGATGCACGGCTGAAGCCCTATATTCGTCTAGGAATTAAAGGAAACAATAATAATAGAATAATAATAATAATGTAGGGATTGCCAAGAAAATATATCACACTAATTTAAAACACCCTAGTTGAACTAGGGAATAGCTAACGTAGAAGTTGTCATCTGAATTGATGGCGAACAGTGGACTTCGTGGGAGATGCTCGTTGTCTCTATTTTAGTTTAATTTCATAACAGATGTACTAATGGATGTGACCTGGGCCTACTATAACAGCCTAGGGATTGACCTGTTACCATTTAAAAGTGCTTTGCGCCATCTAAGTGCAAAGTACTGTTACAAGATTGGCAGGAGCCTGTACCTGCACTCACTCTTGCGGGTGAACGGCTTGAAGCTGGTGATAAGTTTGTGTATCTGGGTAGTTGTGTGAGTGCTGGCGGAGGGGTGACGGATGAGATTTCCAACCGTATAATGAAGGCTAGGGTGGCATACATCAACTTGAGCCACCTCTGGCGCCGTCGCGACGTTAGCCTGGCTGTCAAAGGTCGGATATACAATGCTTCGGTGCGGGCTGTCTTGCTCTACGCCTGTGAAACCTGGCCTCTCAGAGCTGAGGATGTGAGGCGACTCTGCGTGTTCGATCATCGCTGTCTCCGCAGGATTGTTTGCGTTCGATGGCATCATCTCGTGAGTAATTCTGAGGTTCGGCGGCGTGTATTTGAACACAGTGGAGATCACCATTCATTGAATGTCGTCATCTGGAAACACCGACTCCGGTGGCTTGGACATGTGCTGCGAATGTCATCCCAGAGGCTTCCGTACAGGTGTCTGTTCGCTAGCCAACCCTGGGACGGGATGGAAAAGGCGGAGGGGCGGTCAGTCCATGACGTGGCGTCGTGGGATGAAGGATATTTGTGCTAGATTAGCATCGGTTGGTGCGTTACGACTCCCTAGTTGAGGTCCGCGAGATAGCTCGAATCGATGGCTCGAAACGTTATCGGATATGGCAGAGAATCGTAATCAATGGCGAACGTGTTGCAATTTCCTTCTTTCTTACTTTCCTGATGATAGTTAACGAATACTGTTTGAACTTGTTAAACATGACTTTTTTCCTTCCAGATGAAGTTCTCTATCCGTTTTCTACTTATAGTTTTACCTTTATTCTATGTTGTTTTATTATTATTGTGTGGCGCATCTTTCTTGGTGCTATATTGTACCAAGTGTTTTTCTGCGTTTAAATAATAATAATAAATAAATAAAAGTCTTGCGAACTTAGGAGTATGGAGATGATGTTTTCCTTCTAGGCGAAAATACTGGCAAAATGAATTCTTCTGAACACCTTGGTCAGAAATCTTGGAATGTTTGGCATGACATTCATCCCTGTGGAGTGTAAGATAATTCTGAAGAACTGGTCTGTATCGACTGCCAGTTTAAATATAGAAAGTGATTGAGTGTGTTCACCACTCCCCTTATTTGTGAAGGGGGACCGATTCCTGATGAAATCTCAGCATGGATACAAAAGACCTGTGTGATATTTGTCAACTTACGTAATATATTCGGTTATCGATCAAAAGACGTGTGTACTGTTCATAGCAGTGAGACATGGCCATTGAAAACAGAATATATATGAGAAGACTAGTTGTCTTTGACATGACGACGGAAGTCTGATTCCTGCCTCCAGTATTAGGTGGCATAATATGCTGGTAGGACTATCAATCAATGAGTTTTAGAAGCCATATCAGTTTAGATGGCTAGGGTATGTGTTTCTTATGCCCAGTTACTTCCTACCTCATTGAGTAATGTTAGTTGATATAGGATTAGGTTGAAAAAGGCTAAGTGGAGCAGTCAAACCAGAACACAGCATCAGTCGTTGAAGTCTTTGATAGTTGGTTTGGGTTAACCACTTATGCAATGGCTTGGCGCTATGACTGCGTCTCTCTACGGTTATGCCACCGAAAGTTTTATCTCGTAAAGCTGAGAAGAAATCGTTTAAAACTAAGTTGCTGAAGGTTGACAAGAAGAAGAAGAGGAAGGAGAGCTGTGCTATGTATGTATCTACAAAGTCCACCCTGACACTGGTATTTGATCTAAAGCCATTCTATTATTATTATTGTTCCCTTGGGTTCCTAGTGGAACATAGGGCTTCACCTGCACACCTCCACTTGCTTCTGTCTTCTGCTGTACTTTTCACCTCCATCCATGTTAATCCATACTGTTTCAACTCTTCTTCACACGATCTCCTCCAT